TTTTGGGGTGGCCACTCAAGGAGAAATTTTCGTCGCTGGAGGGGTGTGCAGCGGAAAAAGATTAAATTCTTGCGAGATGTATAATATATCAACAAATGAATGGCAATTTTTTCAATGCCTGAACGTTCCTCGTTACTATGGTAGTATGGTACAGCTGAATGGAAAGCTGTACGTATTGGGTGGAATGAATGAGGACAAGGTAAATGAACTGAGTGTTGAGTGCTTTGACACTGCTGAGGACAAATGGGTTCAGAAAACAACCATACCAGTGGAAAGTATCTCCTCGACTTATAATTCGTTCATTGGATGTGTACCGAGGCTTACCAAAGGAGCACTAAATGAACTTAGTAATATATAGAGGTGTAGTCTCTTGGTCACTTTACGACTCTCTAAACCGTCCGGACACTCTACTTAGGCACTGGTCATTACTCATCACCTGAGAGAGGGGGAGGGGGGTTGGAGAATTTTGGTTGTGACCGGATAAAATTTTCTCAGCCCATTCTATAAGGTTCTTTAATATTCTTATGACCCCCCCTCTCTCATTTGCATTGAACTGGCAGTCAGTTTTCTATAGTCCCTCCCTTTATACTCTTTTGGCGAGAACTTATCCCCCCTCCGCTCTCCCTGAAAACCATGTATTCCCCCCAAGTCTTCCCTCCCTCCCTCCAGGCGATCAATAGTGAGTGGTCTCTTAGTGTAAGATTTGAATCAAGCTCTTTTAAAAAGTTGAATTACGTCAGGGTTTGTTAAAGTCAGTCATGTATTCCATTGATGATGCGAAGCAAATGGTTTAAAACCAGGAATGGAAATCGATGTAAAGTAAGGAAATAGCAGTTTTAGAATAAACTTAAGGTCACGTATACTTCAGGAGGCTAAACACGCCTCACGCTGGTTCATAGAGTCACGTACGAATCACGCGCGGCTTTCTATAATACTTGCACTTCACTTAATAATTTTGGCCTTCATCATTTATCACGTTCAAAATCTATTGCCACCTCCTTCCTGATTAGTTTTAACAGCTTGATATTTTTTTAGATTGTGATTAGTACGTCTCCTCCTTTCCTTAAAGTTCAAGTCATATTTAGCTTTATTGAATGGTGCCAGGGTGGGTCTAGGGCTCGTGTGAGTCATGGAAATCTTAGAAAAGCCTAGAATTTCATCTCTTATGGGCAGGAGGATCTTGATGTGATAATTTGAGTAATTTTGCCCACTTAACGGACCTATGGTCACTCGATTTATGGTCATGGTAGGCGAATGAAAGCATCATCAAACCCTTTCTCAAGGAATGCCACCAAAGACGCTGTATTTTCTATGAAACAAGTGCTTAAGGTCTATCAGAAAAATTAGATGGAAAACTTTTGCTCTTAAACAAGACTTAAAAAGGCAAACTACACCATTACACTCCATGCAGTCAACTGTCGGAGACAGATATTATTGCTCTCTGTGAAAAATAATTCAACTTTCTTTAGTGATACTGACCACTTAACAATTGTGCTGCATATTGCATTGAATGTTCGAAAGAGAAATGGGTCCACAAACAACCACACCAGTAACAAAAATCGCCGTGACAGATAGAGACTCATCTACACTTCTCCACAATCTCCTGGGGGACTCGGCAACCGAGCGGGCCAAGGGGAAAGTCAGTTGCTTCCGCTTTTGATATTTTTCCCGAGTATTAACTTGAATCCACTTTATTAGAATCTGCCCACGGAAATTGGGAAATTCTGTTTAATATGGAAGATGTACAGCCTATCTCAGCTGCCGAACAAACGGCTTTCTGTGTGGAACTGATGGAGCGCCTCAACAAACAGCGAAAACAAGATTCTTTGTGCGACATTACTTTGGTTTCCAAAGACGACAGAGAGTTAAAGGCTCACAGAAATGTTCTTTCCGCCGCAAGTCTGTACTTTTGCAGACTTCTTCAGAGCGACATGAAAGAGAATCCAAAGGGAGTTGTTCGGTTTGAGGAGATTTCAGGATCTGTTATGGAAGATGTTTTGGAATTCATCTACACTGGAACTGTAGAGGTGACTCAGTCACAACGGAATACGTCGCAAAAGCTGAGAGATTAATTCGACAACGTTGAGAACAAGTGGGAGGAAATCGCGGATATACGAGAGGAAAGAAGCGAAGCTTTCGGAGTGGCCTCTTAAGAAAAAGTCTGCGTTGTTGGAGGAACACTGAGTAGGAGAGGGAGATTACAAACTTGTGCGAACTTGAATGTTCCACGTTACAATAGTAGACTAAGTATGGTTTGTCTGAATGGAAAGTTTTATACTAGGTGGTTTTAATGAGAGGAACAAAACTGAACTGAGTGTTGAATGTTTTGAAAGTGCAAAGGATTAGTGGATGCAGAAAACAGCCATACCAGTGGCAATCATCGACCCAGGGTGTAAAAAGGCATTCACTGGCTCTATTCTGAAGCTTTTCAGAGAACTGCTAGAAAATTTAAGGATTGTTGCAATTGGGAAGTAGTCTCCCAGAAATTTAACAGCTGTGGAATTAAAGAGCCTAATATGTCGATTATGGCGGACAGCAGGCATAAGCATTTGTTTTTATTGGATTTATATCACGATATAAGCCTACCTAAGGAAATTCGAAGTCGAGCGCATGGGGGGTACTTCACTCATCTAAAGGAGTGTGTTAAGTGAATGCTGGAGCTGGCATCCATCTGTATATTTTTGGTGGGAAGGATCCAAACACAATGCAATCCGTCGCGAGGGTTTGAGAGATTGGCACTTGAAAACAAATGGGAGGAAATTGTAGACATGCTCGAAGTACGACTCAATGTCGTCAAGAAACGAATGTCAACTATTTGCAAGCTACGATGTTCCACAATATAACGGAACTGCGGTTCGACTTGAAGGAAAGCTGTACATACTGGGTGGAAGAAATGAGAGCGGCCAAACTGAACCGAGTGTTGAATGTTTTGACACAGCTAAGGACACAAGGATCCTTACAACAATGGCACCAGTCACCTCATACCTGTTGTTTCGCTGTGTTCTGAGACTCACCGGAGAACTACTCGACAAACGTAAGGTTGTTAGGGAGTAGTCCCTCAAACGCATTACAGCCTTGAAATAAAATAGCTTGAATATGACGCCACTCATGACAAAGGGCGAGCAAACAAAGTTCATCGTGTATGATACACGATGATTTTTGTTTGCTTCGTCTAAGGATTAACTCGAGGAGTGGCTGAGAAAAATCAAAGGTCATACTGCGATGATCGCTTTTTGTTGTTAGTCTCATACATTAACTCTGTATCGCAAACACGGCGTGTACAGGCATGTGGCAAGCACTGGACTGCTAAATCATTACACTTGATTCCTGTTAGACATCTTTACATTGATCGCTCCCTTAAGTCAAAAGCAATTTGTCATTGTGTTAATGGGCTCATTTAACCCTTTACACCCTAACATCAGTGTGCACATTCTCCATACTGTTTTCTATACATTTGATAGGGTGCTGACTAGAAGAATTTGTTTTACTATCAAGAGTTTCCTCAGTTAGTGATCATTTCCTTTATTCTCCGAACCTTAATATGTGATTCAGGGGTGAACAAGGGGTGATAAAGGGCTTATCAGGAAGTAGAATACTGACCATATTTTCCTCAAAACAAGAATTGAATTGAATTTCCTCCAAAACGGAAACTTGTTAAGAGTAATGATACAAACTGAGGTTAGATGATGAGCTGCAGGAACGAGATAAGCGAATAACAGAAAGTGTAAAATCTTTAAAAAAAGAGAGAAATCATTGTCAAGAAAAGGAAGTGTCTTAAGCTGCACGGAGTCCCAAACTCGAAAATGCAACGTTTATAATTCGAAAATCATGTCTCGCAAATAATTAACTTCAGTAAACCGGAACGCCTGAACCTCATCGAGCCGAAAAATTTGTGTATTGATTTATTGAAGGTAATATCGTTTCTGAAGAAATGAAGCGAACATTGCACTGACTGGGTGGCTTAATATCGCTAATTTACGTCATCTAGAAAAATGTAAATGTAATGCCTCTGTGTAAGTGATTGTCTTGTTTTGTTTGTTTTGTTTTTTATCAAAATGTGAATTAGCAAGTATTTTAAGGTCACTCAGATCGAATTTCGTATTTTTTGCTAAAAATTACCGTGGATTTGCTATCCTCAAGTATTATTCCTCTTTTGTTCGCAGCTCTGTTTTGATACAAATTTTTACATAAGTTCATCATGTAAAATGTCGATGCAAAAGTGAAGTTTAAGTGAAATTCCTGGAAAGAAAATAGCTGTTCATACCAACCTCGTTCCCAGGGCTTTTCCCCTTTTTGAATATTTTCCCGCCCGCCAAAATATTCAAAAAGGGAAAATCCCTGGGAACGAGGTTGTGTCCATACATGTAACTCAATATTTCTGTTAGATTTCAACTATAGGGTCCTCCTGTCATCCTAATCAATAAGCCCTATGCCTTATACCCACAATGCTATTCAATCATTCGCCAGTTATGAAATGTCGCCCGGGGAGGAGGAGGGTGGCGGGTGGAAGATTTCAGGGATCACATGGTTTTTCAAGGGAAATGGAGGGGGGATCAGTTCCAGCCATTCCCCAACAGAGTATACAGTTAGGAGAGTAGAAAACTGACTGCCTCTTAACTGAAAATGAGGGGGAACCATAGAAAACTACATGGCCTTACTTTGATGGGGGAGTTAGGAAATAAATACTTTATCATGACTCAAACAGAATCCTCCAAACCCCCGACGGTAAATATGGACCGGTCCGGTCCCTTAATTAATTTTATGAACGTTGGATTTGAGCAATTGAAATTACTGTTTGAATATCAAATTGCGCTAACGTACCAACAGGATGTTTTCTGGCTTTCCCTCTTTCTCTCAAGATTCTGCCCATAACGTTTTCCCAGTCCCCTGGAATTGATTTTCTACTCGTACCCAGAGTCTCTCAGTCGACAGGGGAAAGAAAAATCGAGCGGGCATGTGGGAACGTGGGAACCAGCCATACTTCCGCTTTCGGTATTTTTCCAGAGTCATCAACAACGTTTGAGCAGAATCTGCCGACAGAAACTAGGAAATTCCAGAAAAGATGGAAGATTTACAGCCCATATCAGCCGCTGAACAATCGGCTTTCTGTGTGGAAATGTTGAAGCGCCTCAACATTCAGCGAAAACAAGATTATTTGTGGGACATTACTTTGGTTTCGAAAGACAACGGCGAGTTTAAGGCTCACAGAAATGTGCTTTCCGCCGTTAGTCCGTTCTTTTGCAAGCTTCTTCAGAGTGACATGAAAGAGAATCGCGAAGGGATTATTCGATTTGAAGAGATTTCAGGATCTGTTATGGAAGATGTTTTGGAATTCATCTACACTGGAACTGTGGAAGTAACTCAGGAGAATGCCAACGATCTGATCGCTGCAGGGAATTATCTGATGATACCGAGCTTGAAAACTGTTTCGGGGCGATTTCTAGAGGGAGAAATGTCCAATTCAAATTGTATCTCGACCTTTTACCTCGCTGAGAAATACGACTGTATCGAGCTTGTTGGCAACAGCGGGAAATTCATCCGCGATAATTTCGTCTCCGTTGGAGAAATGGATGAATTTCTGAGCTTGGAGGCTAACGAGGTGGCGAGCTGGATTTCAAGCGACGAGATTGCTGTGGGAGCGGAAGTAGATGTTTTTAAGATCATAGTTCAGTGGGTTGAACGCAGCAAGAGCGAGCGAAAAGCCGAATTTGAAGAATTGTTCGGTCGCGTTCGGCTGGATTTCCTAACGCGTGATTGTTTGCAGGATGTCGTGACAAACGAACTCGTCCGTGGCAACGCTGTTTGTTTGAGGCTGACCGTGGATGCTATTGTAAAGATGGCTACTTTTGCGAGTGAAGATGATCTCCCACAGCCACCAAGAAAAGGTCTAGAAACACGTGTTATCCTAGCATGTGGTGGCAAGTACACATTTTTTTATCTCCCAGAAAAAGACCAGTGGAAGCGGCTGCCGGATGGATCAACCGAGAGAAACCAGAAAACACAAATGATTTCGTTTCGTGATCAGCTGTATACCTTTAAGAAGTTCAGCAAGGCAGAAAAGTATGATCTCGTGTTTAATGGCTGGTCGAAGTCGGATTTGATTGACGTATCAGCAGATAACGCCATTGTGACTGTTGTAAAAGGAGATATGTACGCCATTGAAGTTAACAGACCTGCTGGAAAGTCAACCATAAAGAGATTCGATGTGGAGCTTTGTACATGGCAAACAGTTGTGGAATCCCCCCAAGGCTGTAGAAACGGGTCCTTTGTTGTCGCAAGTGGTAGCCATCTGTATCTTTTAGGTGGATCGGCCCCTAACACTTCTTGTTATGTCGCTAAAGTTGAAAGATTCAACATTGAGGAAAACCAATGGGAGGAAATCGCTGACATGCAGCAAGGAAGGGGTGGTGCCTTTGGAGTAGCAACTGAAGAAAAGGTTTTTGTTGCTGGAGGCTTAAACGAAGAGAACAAGGTGTCAAGAAGATGCGAGATGTACAATGTTTCTACAAACGAATGGCACTTCATTGGAAGCTTAAACACTTGGCGTGTTTATGGCAGCATGGTGTGTCTGAATGGTATCTTATATGTTCTGGGTGGAACCAAGAATAATAGAGATAGATTACTGTCAGTTGAATGTTACGACTCTACAGAAGACAAGTGGATTGAGAAGACATCCATACCAGTGCAAATGTACGCCTCAGGAAATCAGAACACATTCACTGGATGTGTAATGAAGCTATCTAAAGGAGTGCTAAAGAAACCTGACTTCATCAAGGAAGAGGTGGTGACGCCAGCAACCGCACAACCCGCGTTCAATTTCCCGTCAGTAACCCGTAGCAGCTTCCCTGTTAGCACCAGCATGGGCAGCGTCAATATTGGCGCCAACAGTGGCAACATCTTCGGCAACCAAGTATCCGCCACTTCGATAAGCCAACGTGTTGTGGCTCGTCCTATTCCTGTATTTGAGCTGTCTGATGATGATGACTGACTGAGTTAGCTTCAATACAATCCCCTTTAATTTAATTCAAGGAGACAGTTTAAAGTTTTTTCACAGGTGATCAAACTTAAGAAATCTTTACACGGTTTTTTAGTCAATGGACAAGGGACAAAAAAACAAGACTTCTTACACATCTGGATGATGAGATATCCTGTGTGTGATTTTAGTACTATTCGACGGTGAAATATAATCTTGCACGTTAAAATAGCATGAATGAGCTGTTATGGTTTAAAAATACAGTCTTGTAGTAGTAGCACACAGATTCAATTTTATTTCATACATACTGAGATTTACACTGTGCCTCCGATTGGACGACACGATGTATACTCACAGTCGTTCGCGTTCAATCATTGCAATGTGTCGGTTAGTTAGTAAAAAATTTCAGTATATATCAGATAAAAACATCATACCATGGAAAGTGCTTGAACAATTTCTATTCACTAGTTGCGATGCATAAAAAAAAAACTCACTCGTTCGTTTTTTCAAGCATTGCAACTTGTGAATGAAAATCGTTTGTGCGCACTTTCCATGGAATAATCTCTATGAACTGTTCCCCATGGTTATAATTTTCTTTCTTTTTATTTCATATCAGTGTGAGACTTCAGATTACAATGAACTATTCTACTTTTATGGTTTTGATAGCAATGCCGCTTTTGATCTTTAACCCTTTCACTCCCAAGATGTCATTAGTAATTCTCCTTATTGTCTGCCATACAATTTTCATGATGCTAGATGAGAGAATTTGGTAATTGATCGACTAATAGTCCCATGTTTGACATTTTTTCTTTATCCGCGTCACTTGTCCGCTCGACACTGTATTGATGTTGTAAGGAGAAAATTTGTCTTGGGAGTTAAATGGTTAAGTCCTCATTAACTCAAAGGGTTTCTTTCAGAAAACAATCTGTTTACTGTAAACCCTTTATGTTGTACAGCCAACAGACACCTCCACATGAAGGAGAACGCGCATTTTCGTTTTCTAAAGAATAAATACAAGCATGGCAATTGTTTAAGATAAATTGATAAGCCTTAGTAGTTTGTAATGTGATTATAGACAGTAATTAGTGAGTAAGCTGCTCCACAATAAAAGAAGTGCGTGAATTCCAAAGGTAGTGCCCCATGCAATTGTCAAAACATTCTCTTATCGTAACCCACATCTCCTAAGGCGGATCCACCCCACTTTTGACAAAAAAAAAACCCGTATCAAAAGTCATTCTCTCTGATTTACCTCAATAACTCTAGCGATCATATTGGTTTGATTAGCAATGTAGCTGCATTGCTGGTAATATCAATTATCACGTCCAAACATAAGGGTTTTTTTTCCCTTAATCCTTTAACCCCTGGGAGTGATAGGCATCTACCGGTAATTTCTCCCCACAGTATCACCCCTGAGTCACACATCCAGGTCATGAGAATAAAGAAAATGATCGTGAGGTCAAGAAGCTCTTGACTGTTTAGAAATATGTCGACAAGACATATTTTCAAACTCATTCAGCATATTTGGCTATTTTTCTCAACATTTTGGCCTTAGCCATGAGACTATCATTCCTTACCATAACTGATGATCTTGCATCTACTCGTCTCCAGAGCTTGAAAACCCGTCTCCGAGCTTGAAAACTGTTTCAGGTCGAGTTTTGGTACGAGGAATGTTCAACCTTAAAGTGTCTATACGGCCAACAGGGTTTTTATTGTTTTGGTATCTCTTTAACCTGTAAAAGGTATTCTAAAAAAAAAATTGATTCTGACGCCTCTTCACCCTAAATTCTAGCTTTAAAGTTCCCGCTTCGGCCACGCCCAATGAAGTTGACCGCGTAAGGGAAGATTGGTGATGAGTGACGTCACTCCCGGAATGGAATATTATGCAATGAAATTCGCTTCTCTGAATTTGTAGTATTAGAACAGCCCGCAACAACACGTCTATCTGGCATATTTATGTCGCCGAAAACTCTTTACCTTACTGAAAAAACAGTGAAATGAACCACTGGCGGGATTTGGCGCGTTCCTGACTTGGCGTCACGACCCATTCTGGAACTCAATGTCTTTTTTGCCCCCACTCACGGTCACCTTCAATGGGCGTAGCCAAAGCGGGAAGTTTAAACCTCGATTTCAGGGCGAAGACACGTCAGAATCCAATTTTTATTTAAGAATACTTTTTACATGTTAAATACATACCTAAACTATAAAAACCCTGTTGGCCGTATAGACACTATAACTGTATTTGAACCTTTTACCTCGCTGAGAAATACGACTGTGACGAGCTTATCAACATGAGCAGGCGAGAGAACATCATATCGTTTCCCTGGTAAAAATGCAAAACTAAAGAGGTCGAGAGGTGGATTTTGTCCGGCGAGATTAAAGTCGAAGATGATGTTTTTGAAATCGTATCAGACTTGGTTAATCACAGAAAGAACGAGCGAAAAACAGCATTTGAAGGATTGTTTCGTCATGTTCGACTAGATTTTCTGTCCTCTAACGTAGCTATCGTTTAAGGGGAAATTTATGCTGTTCAAGTAAACACCACTGACCAGAAAACTACGGTCGTAAAGTACAATGTAGAGCTGAGTACATGGGAGACAGTTGATCTCTCGTTTGATCAAGATTGTAGAGGCAATATTTGTGCTGTTGGAGCTGGTAGACACCTGTATATGATTGGAGGGTGGAAACATACACAGGAGTATTTCGCAAATGATGAGAGATTTGACACTGTGGAGGAGAAATGAGAAGAAATCGCTGATATGCAGGCAGAAAGAGCTGGCGCTTTTGGGGTGGCCACTCGAGAGAAAATCTTCGTCGCTGGAGGGCTATGCGGAGGAAAATTATCAATTACTTGCGAGATGTATAACATACCAATAAATGAATGGCAACTTTTTCAATGCCTAAACGTTCCTCGTTAGTATAGTAGTATGGTACAGCTGAATGGAAAGCTGTACGTACTGGGTGGAGTGAGAAAGGGCAACCTAAATGAACTGAGTGCTGAGTGCTTTGACACTGCTGCGGACAAATTGATCCAGAAAACAACCACACCAGTGGAAAGTATCTCCACAACATATAATCCGTTCATTGGATATGCAGTGAGGCTTTCCAAAGGAGCACTAGATGAACTTCGTATTATAGAGGTGTGGTCTCCCAGTCACTTTACGACCCTTTAAACCGTCTGGATTGTTAAAAATGTTGACTAGTCAGAGCTCTCCAACTGGACGACTATACTCGCCACTTGGGGACTTGTCATCATTTTTCGCCTGGGGGGGTAAGGATTTCTGGCTATGTCATGATAAAATTTACCTGATCCCCCATTAGGCTATGTAGTATTCTAACGATTCTCCCTCACTGACTTTCAGTTTCTTATAGTCCCCCATCTATTGGCCACGAACGATCCCCCCTCCATTTCCCCTGGAAACTATGTGATCCTCACAAATCCTCCAACCCAACCCCCCTCCCCAGGTAAAGGTAAATTTTATCATGACATAGTCAAAAATCCTTACCCCCCAGTTCCTAAGTAGTGTGCACAGTCGTCCAATTAGGGAGTGCTGGTCAGTATTTTATATTCCCCCTCTTCATTAATAGTTCATGTATTAGCTGTCAATTTTCTATCACGAAAAATTAAGTCAACGATTTCATAGAAAACTATTTCTTGACTGTTCATCAGCATTTTAAACACACGAACTGTCACTTGACATGTTTCGTTGTCCTATTTCGTTCCTCATCTAATATTACAACTGATAATTGGCTGTAATGACATCAAATGAACCATATGTGTTTTGTTTGGTAGACAATCAGAGTATCCTTAGATTTCACCAAAATTTGCGAGCAGCTCTCCAAAGTTAGGTTTCAAGCTGTCTTTCTTGACCGATGTTGGCAATTATTGTGAAGAACGAAAAATAAAGCTTGTAATTAACGTTTAGATAACAATATCAAGAAATATAGGTGACAATAAATGAATTTTTTGGCAATTTTTTAGCAACTTTTTAGCATTCTAGTGAGAAACTTTCCATGATTTAATTTATGAGCACAGTCGGGACACCTCCCTCCTGGTAATCAACAATGACTAGTCTTTCAGTGTAAGATTTGAACCAAAGTCTTTGAAAAAGTTGAAATACTCCAGGGTTAGTCAAATTCAATCCAAAATTCCATGGACGATGAGAAGCAAATGCCAAGTTTAAAAACGGGAATGGAACTCGTTGTAAAGTAGAAAAATTGTACAAGTAGCACCTTTCCAATAATCAGGTCTCTTGTGCCTGATTATACTACAAAAATAGTTTAATTATAGATGTCAGTTTGCTTTTGCTAAGTTATTTTTCAATTATTTTAAAGGAAAACCGTCAGATTTCTCCTCTCGTGTGAAAGTTTTCCGGGAAATCTTGAGGTTTTCACTTAAGAAAGAAAAAAATCCACGTCACGTATACTTCAGGAGGCAAATCACGCCCCACGCTGGTTCCTAGATTCACCTACGTATCACGTTCACCTCTGACAGCACAAGCGTCAGATAATAATTTAATCTAATCATCAGATAATAATTTAATCTAATCATTTTTCAGGTTAAAAATCCTTTGCCACCTTCTGATAAGTTTTAACAGCTAGATATTTTTATAGATTGTGCTTCAAGTTCCAGTCATATTTAGTTTTATTGAATGGTGCCAGGGTGGGTCCAGGGTTCGTGTGAGTCATGGAAGTCCTAGAAAATCATATAATTTCACCTCTCACGGGTAGGAGGATAATTTGAAAAAATTATGATCATTTGAAAAAATTTGCCCTCTTAAAGGGACCTGTGGTCTTTCGATTTATGGTGCTGGTAGGTAAGTGAAAGGACCATGGAACTCTTTCTGAAGAAATGCCACAAAAGACGTTATATTTTCCAAGAACAAGTCTATCAGGAAAAATCGATAGAAAACTTCTGCTCCTAAGCGAGACTTTAAAAGGTAAAGTACACATTACATTCCTTGCAGTCAACTGTCGGAGACAAATCTCATTGCTCCCCTTGAAAAATACTTCAACTTTCTTTAGTATTACAGACCGCTTAACAATTGTGTTGAATACTGTATTGAATGTTTTGACAGTTCGAAAGAGGAATGGAAACAACCATACCAGTGATAAAGATCGTCCTGAAAGATAAAGACCAGCGCCGTTTTCCAAGTCTTCTACTCGTCTCTAGAGTCTTCCAGGGGACTAAGCAACCGAACGGGCGTATGGAAAAATGGGAACCATCATCACTCCCGCTTTCGATCATTTTCCCAAGCGAGGTTTGAGCAGAATCTGCCCACGGACATTAAGAATTAAAATTCTGTGAAATTTGACAGATATACAGCCCATGTCAGCGTCGAACAGAGGTCTTTCTGTGTGAAACTGATGAAACGCCTCGACATTCAGCGAAAACAAGATTAATTGTGCGACATTGCTTTGGTTTCCAAAGATAAGAGAGAGTTCAAGGCTCACAGAAATGTTCTCTCCCCCGCAAGTCCGAACTTTTGCAAGCTTTTTCAGAGCGACATGAAAGAGAATCGAGAAGGGATTTTTCGGGTTCGGAGGATATTCAGGATCAGTAATGGAAGATGTTTTGGAGTTCATCTACACTGGAACTGTGGAAGTAACTCAGGATAATGCCAAGGAATTGGTCGCCGCAGGAAAACTGTTTCTGGTCGATTTTTGGAACGAGCAATGTCCAACCTTTACTGTATTTCAACCTTTTACTTCGCTGAGAAATACGATTGTGACGAGCTTATCAACGCCAGCAGGCGTTTTATTAACAAGAACATCGTTTCTGCGGCAAAAATGGATGCACTTTTGTGCTTGGAAGCTAAAGAGATCGAGAGATGGATTCCGTCCGACGAGATTACGGTTAATATAAAGAGGAAGCAGATGTCCTAAAAATCATATTAGACTTGGTAAACTTCAGAAAGAACGAGCGAAAAGCAGCATTTGAAGAATTGTTTGGTCACGTTCGGCTGTATTTTCTTTCGCGTGATTTTCACTATTGCTCAAATAGTGCTTTACTGCGAGGATCGTGCACATACACGTTTCATAACCGCAGTTCAGGTATATGAACTTCATATATTTGTTGTGTTTGATTTATCATCTTACGGGTTTATGTAGAATTAATTTCATGGCCTGCTC